TCTGTGTCCATTACCTTAGAGAAGTATACTTGCTCTATGTGTCCCTTCTAACCACCATGTAAACTATTTTTTCATTGCCCAAAAGAATCCCTAGGTTTTACTTAGAAGTCTCATTTAGAGAGTTTTAAAGAAAACACATGTGTCTCATAGAGTTGGGTGGACAGGAATGAGCAATATTGTTATTCTGCAAGGGAAGTTACTGAAATTCCTGAAGGTAATTTGGAGACCTGATGTTCTCTGTGTCAATTTTCAGTGTGAAGAAGCAGTGGATGTGAAGAAGAGTAAACCCCGTGAAGCTGATGTCCCCAGTGACCTTCGGAAAGAAGTAGAAAGTCATTATAAGCTGCCTTTACCTGAAGATTTCTATCACTTCTGGAAGTTCTGTGAGGAACTTGATCCTGAAAAACCAGCTGGTGAGTTGCCCCACAATCATTTTTCTTCTGTAAGAGGAAAAGATACCTTCACAGGAACTGGACCAAGGGTATAAACAGTTCATAGAAGAGAAACATTCTCAGAGGTTTTCAACAAGAGAAATACCCACTGATGCTGTCGTAGCATGCGCTGTCACCTGTGATATTGGCTGAGGTGAATGATTTCACAATAGTCTCGGATGGGATGGGGTGGGAGGCGCGTGCTCTCACACGCCACAGGAGTCTGTGTGCGACCTGGCAGTTCCCCTTCCAAGAACTGTCTCACGGATGGCATGCATTAGGAATTGTGTTCGAGGATGTTTATTCAAGCAAGCTATGGGAAACAGCTTAAATGCCCATCATTATCACATCTATTCAGTAGCTATGCATAGTTTTAAAATAATGAGGCAGATTTTTAGAGAACGATAAAGTATCATGCCTGAACTATGTCAGGTAGAAAAAGAGTGTGTAGTCTGTGCTGTCATTATTTTTTTTAAAAACCACAGATCCACACACACATCCCTGCATACTCTTCCTGTGCTTACTGTCTCTGATACGACACACGTGAAGCTATTGGTGGGCTGTGGTGGAGGGACTTTGATTGCATACCCTTTTGTGCTGTTTAAATTGTTTAATTGGCAAACACTCATATACACTCTTGGTGGAAATGTATATTGGTCCATACTCTGAATTTTGGCAATATATCAGAACTGTGCAGCAGTTTCTCTAAAACTAGTCATGACTGTGTACAAACATGTATTGGCAAAGATGTTCACTGAAGCACTTTTAGAATAGAAAAAAATGAGAAATAATAAATGTCCATCAACAGGCGAGTAGATGGGGAGTGGCCTCTTTATGATGGAATCTCATGCACAATTAAAAACCATGTAGAATAACACTGATAACATGGGGAAATAGAAGTGTCAGTGGGCAGGATGGAGGACAAAAGCACATTACAAAACAGCGTGGCTTCTTTTTCAAGATACTTATATATTATGTCTGTACTGGGGAAAGTATGGAAATTTATTTCTGTATGCTAGACTGTTAACTCATGCTATCTTTGGCTATGGTGACCAGTGGTTTTAGTTTTCTTATTGCTTTGAAAATTAATGCTATTCTACTCTCCAGCTAAACTGATCAGTTTCCCGCCCCCCATCAAAATAAACGATCTCCATGCTTTTATCCATGTTACCTTTCCAGGAATTTTCTTGCTCTCTTCATCTCTGCCTCCTTAAGTGACTGGGTCCTGCCTGGAGTGCTTACCTCCCTCCTAGAGAAGCAGCAAGGACCGTCTGAGATCATAAATTGTACATCTGCAGACTTCCTGCCTTGTGGTTTTATTTAGCTCTCTGTAATCTGTGAATGAGGAAAGAAAGATGGAATCATCCAGCGTTAGGGTTCATCAAACAGATTGTCCAGTGGTCAAGGAAACCTGGAGTGATAATTAACTGAGGTAGAGAGAATGGGAAGGAAGTGTTTTGAGCATCAGCATCCTTAATCCACACTTTTCGCTGTGTTGTCTCTCCCAGAGCTCACAGCAATATAGTGATAATGAGACAAGTTGAGTGTTTGTGGCTCCCATATGCCTACAGGAACACAGAACAGTCTTGCTTTGGCTAAAATAAGAAACAACAGGAGTGTTTGAAATGTTAGGCTAAGTCAGTGGTGAATTTAAAAGGAGATCCTAAATGTGATTGCCACATTTGTTAATTCTTTGCCATTGAGTGTTTATAATTAACATTTTCACATATAAAGTTTTTTTAACTTTATAAACTCTTAAGAAGGTTGTTTAGAAACAGTTTATTAATGAAAGACATTACTTCTTACCTGCCTCCAGAAAGTATTGTCTAAATAAACTTACTTTCTTTATAGATTCACTTTCTGCAAGCCTCGGACTTCAGTTAGTAGGTCCTTATGATATCCTTGCTGGAAAACACAAGTTGAAGAAAGAATCCACAGGTCTAAATTTCAACCTTCACTGGCGGTTTTACTACGACCCTCCTGAGTTCCAGACCATAATTGTTGGAGACGGTAGCACTCAGTTCCACATGGGATATTTCAGGTGAGGGCCTTTCTTCCTCTCTGACATGCAGCTAGCGAGTCCTGCTAGTGAGTGTGGAGAGTTGTCAACTGGCCTCCCCGAGGCAAGAGGCACATCTTTCCTGTGGTGGGTACGTGAGCCATCTGCTGTCACTGCTGTTGCCATCTTAGCCTTCCCTGGCATGGGTAAACTCTTCAGGGTTAGTTTCACTGGTTTTTCCTTTGTGGCTTTACACCTTTTTTCCTTGGGTTCAGAAGAGCTCTTTTAGCTCAAGAAAGCTCATTTAGAGCAGCTGTTGTGTCTTAAGTAAACCCTGGGGATCAGGGGCCAGAGAGGCTGCTGATGGTCAAGACCTGCGCTCAGACTGGCCCCGTTGCTTGTCTCTGGCTGTGCCAGCCATGGATGGCTGTGGCTCTCCACAACTCAGTTTCCTCTCCTGTGACCATGGGAATAAGAGTTGAACATACCGATGGCAATGTTGGAGATTAATGAGTGCCTCCTGGTGCTCAGGATGTGGGAAGAGAGTCAGCTCCAGGGGAATGGGCTCGTCCACTGGGAGCAGGAGAGGTGCTGCCCTGTGCGGTGGGAGCGGGCCCAGGGGCAGGTGTGCTCGTGGACGTGGCGTGTGGGCCGGGGTCAGCTGTGTGGACTCTGCTACTGGCTCTGGCGTGGGCTTGCAAGGGCCTTGGCTGCGTGGCTTCACCTCTGCATTTGTGTCCTTGACTTCAAAATGAAAGGATTTGGTTATACACGATAGGGCCCTTTACCTGTAGTGCTTTATAACTGTGTCCTGTTTCTTTTCTACCTTTTTAATCTTTTTTCTTAATTTTAAAGATGTGGGGTACAAGTCAGGATCGGGTACATAAGTGGCCTGTGCCCAGGTGGCGTTGGAGCCTCCCACAGGTCCTCACTTCACCTGGCGTCCGATTAAGTGCCCTTGGTGATGTTGTGTGCCCTCCTCCACCCTGCCTCCTGGCAGTGTCCCACTACTGCCAATCCCTTTCTCGTAGTGTGATAATAAATATTTAAGGCCCACTTACGAGTGAGAACATGTGGAGATGATGATGAGGATGTGTGGCGTGTGGTTTCCCAGTGTCCTTTGACAGTCCTTATTCCTCCTTTCTCTGTATGTGGGTATAAAAGCAACTAGATCCTAAGAATCTTAATTTTTGGTTCTGATATATAAATAAGATTTGTCTTAGATAGTCCTAAGGAACTTGGAGCTTAAACCTGGCACAATTATTTCAATTAAAAAATAAACATATACAGCTATAAATTTTTGTCTGTAGACCTAAAATTTCACTTGCCTGATAATATAAATTATGGGTGGCTAAATTTTTAATATCTTTTGCTTAAACAGGGATTCTCCTGATGAACTTCCTGTATATGTTGGTATAAATGAAGCAAAGAAAAACTGTATAATTGTTCAAAATGGAGATAATGTGTTTGCTGCAGTCAAGTAAGAAAATATTTTATTTAAATTTCTCATTTGTAACTGAATATCTGTTTACAATTAGGGTACTGTTTTACTCCATTACAAAGGGGGTTTGGGACAAGCCAAAAACTGTAGATTTCTAGAGTCATTTCCATGACTTTTGCAGGTAGTCTTATCTTCATGTCTGTTTTGATACTTTTCACTAAAAAATATACCTTCTGTATGTCTAATGATTGAGTGAAAATACTTAATCTTGACCTCAGGTGTCCAATGGCAAAATCAAAAGATCTTTTAGACACACATGATCAAGTGTTCATTCTGAGAGCCCCTGTGTATGGTGCAAGCAGACGGGTTAATGGGGTAAAGTAGGTGTTTATGAAATCTGTGGAGGGGCTGCTGGTGCAGATGGACCCAGGAGCAACAGCTGTGGCAAAACTGGCTCGCCAGCAGATTCTGAAGGCACGAGGTGTTGCAGCTATCAGGAAGCTGGGAAGGCACAAGCTGTTGCTGCTGCAGGTGACTCTAAGACCATGTGTCTCTGGCATTGCCTGTGCCAGTAGGATGGATGCCCATCCTTGTTCTCTGCCCTGAGAGCCGAGGATCCGGGGCTGGGAGCCTAGCCTCCGATGCTTGCACAGCTGTGCTCGCTGGTGGGCCCAGCAGGAGCATGGTCTCCATCTGGTGATCTGTGCCCGTCTGATTTCAGAGAGTTGCTTCAGCTGGGCCCCGGAGCCCGGGCTGAAGAGTGGTATGGGAGGTGCAGGGGGCTTTTGCGGGGGAGGGCTGCGTTAGTGCCTGAGCTGGCTGTGTCAGCCGCTGGGCAGTTGATGTGGCAATAAAATGAAGACAGCTGTCTTTATAACTTTCTGTGTCGGTGGGTCAGGTGGCCTCTTTCAAGACTCTTCCTTTAAAGGGCTTTTATCTCCTGTGACTTAACAATACACATGTACAGCAAGAGCGCTCAGACGAGAGAACTCTGCAGCTGGACTGTGGCACGTCCATGCTGGTGTGTCTAAAGGGTGGCTGTGTTGTCGGTGTCCAGAGCCTCTTCCTTCTCAGATGCTTCTTAGTTTCATATAGGGTGTTGCTTGTATTTGTCATTTAGATAGTTCTCTTAAAACCTTTGACTTAATCAGTTGACTCAGGGGCTGTCTTGATTAGAAACCATGGTGGTTCACTTGCCTGCGTCTGCCTCCTGCACTCGTGCCGTCCACAAGGGCAGAGGCTTCGTCTTAAGACAGCACTTGCCCCGTCATAGATGCTTCTCGATCGTTCATTCATTCTACAACACCGTGGCATGTAAAACACCTAATTTTTCATTTGTATTACGCCTCTAACTTGTCTTAATAGAAATATTTATTTTAAAATGTAGTAGTGGTTGTCTAATCCAAGACTATGGGTACTTTCAGCTTATTGGAGAACACAGAAAAGGAAAAAGTACACAGGTGACTTTGTAATTTAGGCGAAGATCGACAAGTGATCTCAAACGGGTAAGAGCTTATGGAGCTACAGCTGTTAGGTAGTACTTTCTAAGAATCATAACTTTTAGTTTTGGGGGACCTTCTGTACATAAAGCAGCTGATCAGAACATTTAATTTCTTTTTTTTTTTTTTTTGAGTTGGAGTCTCACTCTGTCGCCCAGGCTGGAGTGCAGTGGCATGCTCATGGCCATCCCAGCATCGACCCGCTGGGTTCTGGCGATTGTTCTGCCTCAGCCTTCCAAGTAGCCGGAACTACAGGTGCGTCCTACCATCCCAGCTAATTTTTGTTTTTTTGTAGAGACGAGGTCTCACCATTTTGCCCAGGCTGATATCGAGCCCGTGGGCTCAGGCAATCCTCTCGCCTCGGTTAACTTCTTTCTATATTTCTTATTTCTGTAGCAACCTGAATAAGGTCTTTCAAGACAGACCTTTCGTTATAAACAAATTACGCTCAGGGAAAGTAGATCTCTCTGAATAGTAGCTAAACATACTAATTAAGCCAGCAAAGGTTAGAAAAGGTTAAAGAGTGGTAATGACCAGTGATAAGAAACCTTATTGATGTGTTGGTTGGTAACACCTTTGTAGAGAACAGTTTTTAAAATGTTTAAATAACCATAGCCTTCAGAGTAGCTGGAACTACAGGCGCGCGCTACCATACCCGGCTGATTTTTTGATTTATTGTAGAGATGAGGTCTCACCGAGTTGCCCAGGCTGGTCTTGAACCCGTGGGCTCAGGCAATCCTCTCACCTCAGCCATCCAAACTGTTGGGATTATAGGTGTGAGCCACCGCACCCGGCCTGAGATGGTAGATTTTAATTCTCACCACCTGCTCCATATCAGAGACTATCTGTAGGAAATAACTATGTGTCTCATCCTTCAAGCTCAGCTGTATATATTTCAAGCTGTAGAATTACAAGTCAAAACCCATGATATCTATATCAAAGCTAAAAAGATTCTTGGAGATGGCCAATTATCTTTAGGTTGTAAAATACTGAATTCAGTTATTTGAAGTTTCTTTTCTTTTTTTTTTTTTGAGTTGGAATCTCACTCTGTCACTCAGACTGGAGTGCAGTGGCCGTTCCCGGCCACCGCAGCCTCGACCCGCTGGGCAGCCTCGACCCGCTGGGCTCCGGCGATCCTTCCACCTCAGCCTTCCAAGTAGCTGGAACTACAGGTGCGTGCTACCACGCCTGGCTAATTTTTTTGGTTTATTGTAGAGATGAGGTCTCACCAAGTTGCCCAGGCAGGTCTCGAACCTGCGGGCTCAGGCAGTCCACTCACCTCGGCCTCCCAAAGTGCTGGGATTACAGGCTGAGCCACCGAGTCCGGCCTTTTTTCTTTCTTTTTTTTTTGTTGAAGTTTCTTGAAAAGGGTACTTGACTATGCCTTTCAGCCTGAGCTCGAATGGAAAGCTGCACATATGTAAACCATTCACACCTTTCTTGGTGGTCTCTGGGTCAGGATCAATAGAATGAAAGGGCTACTTTTTAGGTAACTATCTTATTCTTGCCCGGAAGAGCAAAGACACTTGAAAATTAAACCGTATCTTAATTAGAAAGCATTTGGGAGGCTCAGAATAAACTCTAAAACGAACAGAAAATAAAATTGGAAGCAACATATATATCCAGCAGTAGGGAAGATTAGATAAATAAAATGTACACGCACTATAATGCCTCCGTGTGGATTTATTGACTTTGTTGTGAAGACGACAAATAACAGAATGGTGTAGGATGATTCCATTTCATACTGTCTAATGTATTTGGAAAAAACGTTCTAAACATACTCAAAATTCTGTACTATTTTTGGACAGCACGTTTGGGAGTGGTTTGTGTTTTCTTCTGCCCTATTTTTTTTTCCTAAAATAAACGTGGCAATAGTGTGACCTCACGTACCCACAGGTTCTAACTCAAGGTCAGGACTATTAGTGATAAAGTATTGTTTTTGCGCCATCGGCACAAAGGTCACGGTAGTGTTGTCACCTGTCAGAATCGAGGCAGGACCGCCAGAGTCGCGGTAAGCCTTGTGTTATCCTCAGTAGCCGTGTCGTGCGAGTCCGTCAGGCATGTCAGTGCTGAGCCAGGCGTGGGGGCTCGCACCTGCAGTCCCAGCTGCCCCAGAGACTGAGCTGGGAGGATCGCTGGAGGCCAGCTCGAGCACCAGAGTAAACCCTCTCTCTTAAAAAACGTTAAAAACAAAGAATGTTAGTGATGGAGTATAAATGTATTAGATCTCTACATTGATTCCATCTTTTTAAGATTCTGTGTGATGAAATGGTAAATATGTAGATATCACTTCTGCGTACTGAAGTACTATGGCTTGCCTCAGGAAAAGCACTTGTGTGATTGAGTTGTGAGTTGAACTTTTCCTTACTTTTACTGGAGAGTGACTGACACACTGGTTGTCTGGCCATAGATACTGGCATACGTTTTCTCAAATGAACTGAAGAAAACGGACAGACTGCACTTTTTTGCCAGTGATGAGATTCAAGGTTTCAAACAGAAATTAGATTGGGAATAATCTTGTGACACCACGGTGAGCCTGACTGCTTCTCACTACCTAAAGAAATTTTTTGTTTGTTTGAGGTGGAGTCTCACTCTGTCCCCCAGGCTGGAGTGCAGTGGCACGCTCAACGGCCACGGTGGCCTCAACCCGCTGGGCTCAGGTGATCCTTCTGTTCAGCCTTCTAGGTAGTTGGAACTACAAGTGTGTGCCACCACACCTGGCTAATTTTTTATTTATTGTAGAGTCGAGGTCTCACCAAGCTGCCCAGGCTGGACTCGAGCCCCTGGACTCAGGCAGTCTCTCGTTTCTGCCTCCTAAAGTGCTAGGATTACAGGTGTGGGCCAACACGCCTGGCCCTAAATAAAATTTTTTTTTTTTTTGAATTGAAGTCTCATTCTGTCCCCCAGACTGGAGTGCGGAGTCATGCTCCCGGCCACCGCAGCCTCGACCTGCTGGGCTCCTGCAATCCTTTCGCTTCAGCCTTCCAGGTAGCCAGAACCATAGGCGTGTGCTACCACGCCTGGCTTCCTAAATAAATTGTAATTAGATTTGTGGTACTATTAAGGCATGTGATTCTTTTTGTAACATTATGTAAAAGAATGAATTTGATATAATGAAAAGTTTCAGCATTTGGAAGGTGTAACTCATCCAGTATTTTCCTGGTGACCATTGCATGATGCTGTGACACTTGCGGGGGTAGAAATTCAGAGTTCAGGAGTGCTAGTGGATTTAGTGTGACAGCACAGTGTTCACAGTTAGCTTTCGGGTGTATGTGGCACTTCGTTTTTTTTTTTTTTTTTT